CCCCGCACATCGTGTCCAACTCCTACGTCCTTTTCCGTTCGCCGCACATCGTATTCAACTCCTACGGACTAACACTCCTCCACTGGAACGGGTCTGATACACAAGATAAAGCTGTGTTGCAGGCCTTCTGATGTATAGTGGGACGCTGGACCCGCTTTCCAGCAGGTGCTGCTCCCCACCAATAGACCGGAACACCCAGGACTCTTGCTAGGAGGGAGTGCTCGTACGACCTCTCCTAGCAAAGACACTGGTTTTAACCAAAAGTCAAAAAAGACAAAGCTGTGGATCATATGGAAGGAAGGAAAGATGTGTCAGAACTCTTGATAACTCTCCGTTCCTCGACATGACAAAGTTTGGGCGTTAAAAGAAGGTGGAAAAAAAAAAAGTAAAAAGTTTGGCCGTCTACGAAGGGCCTAATCGAAGCAGAAATCCTATGCGAGCGGCACAAAGTCGAGCTCTTTATGCAGAACAATCCAGACACCCAGCACGCAGCTCAGGCCAAATTCAGGAAACTCTGACTGACAAGAGGGGCTTAGAGGGCTAAAAAAAAAAAAAAAAGGATTTGCATCAGGCGAGTAACGTATTTGAAGAAAGGGGGGAGGNGGGAGGGAGAAAAAGAGGCGGAGTGTTCAGACGGAAGGACTGGCACAACTCCGACGCTACCCACAGAGTGCAGATCCCGAAACAGTGGGAACAGCAGGCTTCCAGCAGAGCGACCCAACAAAAGAGATTGCCAGGCAGATGGGTGAACATGGCAGATCTCCACTATTGGGGTGAGGCTACGGAGGACGTGAATAGTGGGACAAATGCTCTCTTTTTTCTTTGTTTTTTTCTTTTTTTCTTTTTTTCCTTTTTTCTCACCCCAACAGCGGGGTGAATGCTTTTTCAGTCCTTGCTTGTCTTTTGTTGTTTCCCTATTTATGTCTGCATAGTACATGGCGAGTTCGATGGTCTGATCTGGTGGAAGTACCAAAGTACCGAAGCACTGGCAAGATGACAGTGAATCCTCCAAGCAGTGAGGGTAATCAACGCTGATCAGGGATGATCAGGGGTCCTTCGGTCGAACGGGGGGACGCGGGAGTGATGTGAATGTTGTAGCTCTGACTTGCCGGGGGGGAAATAGTAACCGGACGGATGCTGCCCAGAATGAACAAGGAGGGAGGGCCCATAAGGGACCTGTTTGTTTGTTTGTTTGGTATAAAAAAAAAAGAACTCCCTCCCCGCTCTCCCCCCCGCTGCCCCCCTGAAACTGGCCACTCTCCTAACCTCCTTGCTGCTCATGGTTGTGCCTCATTCAGTCTGTATTTTGAGTGATCTCCATGTATTATGTAATGCAGCCACTCATCACACACACACACACACACACACACACACACACACACACACACACACACACAGAGAGAGAGAGAGAGAGAGAGAGAGAGAGAGTGAGTTTATTACGTGGCAAAGAAAGATGCCACGTCCCATCTTCTTCTTTTGTTTCTTTTTTTCCTTCTTTTTCTACCACTGTTTGTTGTTTGTCGTGGTCGCCTCCCTCCTGCTCCTCTTTTCCCTCATCCTCTTCTTTGTCCACCTCTTCTTCTTCTTTGAAAGGATTTCACTGCTGCAACCTTTGTGTCAGTCCCGAGTCCCAGTCCTGGAGTCCCAGTCCCAGGTCCCAGTCTCGAGTTCTTGTCCTGAGCCTCCTCCTTGTTCAATTGATGGCTGTAGCTGCATGGACAGTGATTAATTTGAAATGGAAATTAAATGTACTAAGGACATGTATGTTGAAATAGGTCATTATTTTTTCATTCTTAGCATTTTTGTTGCATTAGCCTACAAAAAAAATAATCTATCTTTTTTTTGTTCTATTTTTTTTTGTTCACTTAATGTTCGCAACTCTTTGGGTAAGATAGCCTGAGTCCCAGTCCGAAGTCCCAGTCCCAAGTCCCAGGCCTGAGTCCCAGGCCTGAGTCCCAGTCGTGTGCACAATAGTTACAAATGCCTAGAAAGAATGGCTTTTGTATGCACAATGATTGCGGATGCCCAGGTGGGTGAGCTTTAAGTAAGTCATGTTAGGAAGTCCCTGTTCGATAACAGTTATGGGTCGGAGCACCAGTAGGCTTAAGCGGACAGCAGAAACCGCTAGGCGAAGTGTCGGTTGGTCCGGTCAAGCTGCGAAGTCCAGTGACCATGCCTCAGAGAGATGTTTGGTGGCCAAAGCTGCACTTGCTGGTACTTAGTCAATCTTGTGTTCTTGAGTTGAATGGCCACAGCTATCCTGAGTTTTCATCCCACGCATCCATTGTCTATGTGAGTGTCATTGTGCGAGCTTGGTGAGGAGTGCTGCGCATCGAGGGTCGATCTCAAAGCATCTTCTTCGTCTTGGCCCTCATTGTCAAGGCACTAAAAAGTGAACTCACCTGCCCATCAAAGTCCTAGTGGGTTTCTAGAGACCTAACGGAGTCAGTGCCAGTACTATAAAGCACTAGAACGCGGACAACTGTTAGGTTACCTGAAGTTAATTATGAACGACTCTAACAAGAGCGATTTGAAAGGCTCTAACAAGATCGACATGAAAGAAAAAGTCGTGAATGTTGCGGCTGGCAGGCTGCAGAATTCCGAATATCTGTTCTCTTCGCTCGTTGGTCCTTCGTCATCCTTTTGTTTTATTGTGTTTGTAAATTTTGCCCTCCGTTAATCGATTGCAATCAGGTTGCTGACTTTGGAACCGGGTTCGTTTCGCTGCAGAGTCTGCAACTGAGGAGCAAGCATCGGTGCAAAACATTGGTAGGATGTGGCGCCAGGGCAGAGTCCGTGGACCAAAGAGCATGTGTAGAGGAGGCTCGAGGGCAATGCAACTCTATAGACCATTGCGTGTTCTGCACCCTGGAGTTGCTGAACACACCAGTGCAATTCTGCACACGTGTGTGTGCTGGAGTTTGTCCACTAAACACATTTCAGAAAGCCTGAAACCTCTACAGCCTCTACAGCTTGAGTGATCTGGGGTTTCTGTACGAAGACTCCACAAGCTTGAAGATTCTCCTGGAGTGCTTGGGGAGAGAGAGAGAGAGAGAGAGAGAGAGAGAGAGATAGATAGATAGATAGATAGATAGATAGATAGATAGAGAGAGAGAGAGAGAGAGAGAGAGAGNTAGATAGATAGATAGATAGATAGATAGAGAGAGAGAGAGAGAGAGAGAGAGAGAGAGAGAGAGAGAGAGAGAGAGAGAGAGAGAGAGAGAGAGCAGTGGGAACTGTTGGTTATCTGGGTTTATTATTCCCAAGTTCATGTTCATGTAAAGGGACATGCAACAGGGAGATGAAACATCAAACAGGCTTGACAGATCTATAGGATAAAAGAGGGAAGAACGAACTGTATAAATTGTCAAGTTAAGTCAGAGGGGGATCCACATGTGTACAGTTATCTGGTCTTAGCTGAGTTCGATAAATCTCTCTTTTTTTTTTTTTGGCCTTTCTCGTAACGTAGTTCAGGTTTTTAGGGCTGAGTCGGCTGGCCCTTCTTCCCAATGTTGTCGCTTTGACTTTGTCAAATTGTAGAGTGCACTTCAGTAGCAAAAGCAACAACAACAACAAATACCTTGTACAGTTGAGACGGTGGTCATTATGGTCACGGTACGTGTACGTATTACTATTTAATATTTATCGTATTGTTTTCCCACTTTTCCCGAGTATTTTTATGTTTTATACTTAAAAGTTAAAACCCGTGAGGCCGCATTTGTAGGAGGGGAGGCGTTGGGGAAAGTGCCATGCGGCAGGCCTGGGGTGGGGTGTAAGCCTCAGTGTCTTGCCGCAGGACCGGTGGGAGAGAACAGCAGCAAGGGTTTAGAGCGGCGGGGGGGGCGATCGCTAGCTGCCAGCCTTGAACAAGCGAACGACTCCTTCCTTGACATCTGGAATAGGACAAGGGGGTAGTGAATACTGCCATCTTCCCTCGAGTGGGGTGAGAAAGGGTGTTCATGCTGCAGAACTGGGGTAGGGTGAGAAAGGGTGTTCCTGCGGCATGAAACAGCCAAGTATAAGGGGGTAGTGATTACTATCGTCTCCCCTCGAACACAACGTACACGTATGACGACTGTACCGGGACGGAAAGGTAGCTCGTATGCATTCTTAATGAGGTCCGTCGTATTCGGGTGAAGACGATGGCACCCGCCCTCGAGCAAGCAGAATGCTTCCTTCCTCGACGTGTTGGACAGGCTCCTGCTGCAGGACCGATGGGAGAAAGCAGCAAGGACAAGCGGGGAACGATCACTAGCTCCCAGCCTTTGAGCGAACAGAACGCATCCTTCCTCGATGGGTTGGTGTGGCGTGGTGCTCTGGCACTGGTGGGAGAGAGAGTGTGGTGTGGCAGGACTGGGAGGAGAGAGTGATCTGCTGCAGGACTGATATGGGAGATATCCACACAGATAAGCGGGGAGCGATCGCTAGATGCCAGGCTAGCGCAAACCGAATGCGTCCTTCTTTGATGTGTTGCTGTAGCCGCGTAGCATGGTGCTCCAGGACTGGTGGGGGAGAGAGAGTGTGTGTGGCAGGACTGGTGGGAGAGAGTGTGTGCATGGCAGGGCTGGTGGGAGAGAGAGAGCATATGTGGCAGGGCTGGTCGGAGAGAGCCACGAGGATAAAGGAGGAGCAATCCTTAGCTGGCAACCTTGACCAAGTCCGACGCATCTGTCCCTGATGGGGTTGTTGATAGATTCTGAAGACGGTTCTCAGCTGACATTGAGACCGGTAGAAACTTGGGGTTGGGGCTTTAAGAAAGTGCAGGGCAGTGTTTTCCTGTTATAGCCTTATCCACATTAGATTCGTCTTATCCACATATTGTATTCGCCTTATCCACATTATTAAATTCGCCTTATCCACATTAGATTCGTCTTATCCACAAATTATATTCGCCTTATCCACATTAAATTCACATTAAATTTGCTTTATTGGAAGTGTATCCACATTACATTTGCCGCCCCTCCATGTTTAAGTTACAGTTAAACAATGATAAACATTGAATGAAGACTGCTTCTGGATGTAGTCGTCCAGATTCATTGTGAATAGTCCGTGAATTGTCATCCAGATTCATTCTTGATAGTCGGTGAATCGTCATTCAGATTCATTCTGGATAATAGTAGTGCGTGAAATGTCTTGAACCGTTCCAGATTCAGTCTGTATTGTCCGTGAATGGTCGGCCAGATTCATTCTGGATAGTCCGTGAATCGTCATCCAGATTCATTTTGGATAGTAGCAGCGCATGAATGGTCTTGAACCGAATATACTAGCAGCAACAACAGGAAGGGGCAGTTTTGTAAGAAGCAGGGCATTGTGGGGAAAGGCTATGGGCCTCGCTCCACTGCTCACCACATGCACAAAAGACAAAAAAGATATGGCGGTGCATCTTCTCTATGTTCTAGCGGAAGATTCATTCTCATTTTGTGCATTTGGTGAGTATGGCACATGGTAGGTGGCAGATAATTGTCACCTCACCTCGATTTGGGCGATAGGGTAATAACTATTGTGCACATGCTTGATGTGGGCAATTCGGTAATTGTTGACATGCTCGACGAGGGCAATTGCGTAATTGTCGACATGCTCGATGTGGGCAATTGCGTAATTGTTGAGATGCTCGATGGGGGCAATTGGGTAATTGTCGCCGTGCTAGACAATCATGGGGTAACCGTTATATTTGTTAAGATGATATCTGGTGACCCTACTGTCTTGCTGTGAATAGAACCTACCACGGTCATTGCGATAACTGTATTTGGTCCAACTTTCAGTTTACGATGGAGCGATAATGACGGTACGTACGTACGTATGTTCTATTCGGGTGAGACGGTAGTGATCCTGGGGGCGACACTTGGCAGTCGCAGCGGCGGCATTTAGCAAAAGCTGACCCCAGTATGTTGACGGAGTGTGGCACGGCAGCTTTTACCAAAAGCTGACCCCAGTATTTTAATGAAATGGCAAAGTGGACAAGAGGTTGAACTGTGATAAGTCGGCAGTTCATATCGATCACGAATGCTCTTCGTAATCCACTTTTCGTATGTAACTTCGAGCAAAAGTTTATGAATAATCGGTACCAGTGTTTGTTGATGTACCGCCGGCTGACATAATGGGAAGCATCAGAAAGAGAAAAGATGCACGCAGCAGTACGACGGTTGTGGGTTTCTGACAGGCAGCAGATGAATTCCAGCTGCAGACGCAGAAACCTCTCCGGCAGTGATTCGATGAATTGTGAATGAGAGGATTGATGACGTCGACAACAAGTGTTCCGTGTGCAGCCAACCAGGGTTAACATCAGTTAAGCAGCAGTCGTGTCGTCGCGTGTGCATCCAGCGTGAATGAGAGGGTTGATGGCATCGACAACAAGCGCTCCGAGCATAGCCAACAAGGGTTAACATCAGTGAAGCAGCAATCGTGGCGTCGCGTGTGCACTGTGTAGCCATTGTGAATGAGAGGGTTGATGGCATCGTCAACGAGCGTTCCAAGCGCAGCCGGCCAGGGTTAACATCAGTTGAGCAAGAATCGTGTCATCGTGAGTACACCCAACCGGGGTTAACATCAGCTAGCTAGGCAATCATCGTGGTGTCGTAAGTGCAGCCCAGCCAGGGTTAACATAGTCAAGCAACAATCGTGTTGTCGCGAGTGCAGCCAGTCAACCAGGGTTAACATCAGTTAAGCAACAATCTTGGTGTCGCCAGTGCAGCCAACCAGGGTTAACACTAGTTAAGCAACAATCAAACGAGTGGAGAGTGACTCTAAAAGAGTGTAAGAGGGAGGCAGGGGGGTGGGGGGGGTGGGGGTGAGGGGGAGGGGCTCTGAGGGGGAGGCGGAGAGGGAGAGGGGGCCCTTATTTGAATGAGAGGAGGACTGACTTCATGACATCTACAACGCGTCTTGTGAACGCAACTAACAGGGGTTCAGGCAAGCGACAAGAATGTTTGTGCGAGAGCGGCTCTGCAGAGTTCGGAGGCAGAGGGGCTTCCTCTTCTTCTTCATAAACGTGTGTTCGCCGAGGAATGATTGGTGTATGTATGCGAGCCTGCAAATTTTCACTTTTGCAGATTCATAAGTTGAGGGAGTTGTTTTCTCCAAACTGCTCTTGAAATTTCAATGAGATTCACATGTCAATCAAATCCACAATCCATTCGTTCGTGGAGTGAACGTATGTGTGCGAAGCGGGAAGCGGCGACTTCTTTGATTCGTTCTTGTTGCAGCTTCGTTCAGAGTCTTGAACATTCTTCAGAATTTTTTTTTTCTTTTCAACTCAGCTTTTGGGAAGTACTGCTAGAAGAAAAAGGCAAAGGCGTTAAAAAAAAAAAAAAGGCAAAGGCGTTCTTTATGTTGAATTACTATTCTTTGAATGAGTTCATCTGCGGAATCACTGTGCTTGCGGTGTTGGTGTGCTCAGTGTGCTGACGGACTTTGTGTGGTTGATTTGTAATTGAACTCTCTCTCTCTCTCTCTCTCTCTCTCTCTCTCTCTCTCTCTCTCTCTCTCTCTCTCTCTCTCTCT